CTGGAATGCACTGGCCCTGGCTCTTTGGGCCTTCGTGTTCTGTTTTGCGCAACACAGAACTTGAAGAGAAAGTTTGTGCTGGGCGAGGAGCAGCTTCGAAACCCCTGGTCATTGGGGTAGCAGATAGGTCTATCTCTGAACATGGCCACTTCTGAAGTAGCTTCGAGACCATGTGCTCCTGCACACAGAGCCAAGCCTTCCAAGTCCAACGAGCAAAGTGCCATTCCGTCGTCGTGCCTGCATCCTGGGCCAATCCTGGGCTTAGGATTATCCTCTGCAACTGGGAGTTTCCCAAAATTAGGGTTTCACTAGGTTCCCCAGCATTTCCCATCCGGAAAGGAGGATGAGAAAAGTTCAACCCAAGAGCAGCTCAATGTACTTGTGTACGACGTCCGTATGTTCATGGTCTTGCCTGCAGTCCAGCAAGTCATGACACTTGCCAGGCCGACAGTTTCAGTGCAAAATGCCGCTGAGGCAGCCGTCGGGAAGTCATTTGGTTCTGGAGGCGGGGTCCCATCCAAAAACAAGGTGTCAATAGTTAGACGTGTCTTCTATGTTGAATCGAGGCATGTCAATTGCTCTTGGGATTTTAGAATCAAACTCCCAGATTCGATAATCTGGGCTAGTGCAAAATCAATAGGCGCCGTACTCATTGCAAATGATGCCTTGTTTGGGAAACCACAACAGTTAGCTTAGAAGCTCTGCATAAGCTGGGGAAACTATTGATTGTAACGTTCTCACTGCTGATGAATCTCATTCATTAGGGTGCCATTTTTTCCAAAATATCAGTGTAACACAGAAGCCCTACAAATAAATGTCTGCAAGCACGTGAAATTCAATGGGCATGGCGGTGTCATCGCATTCTCTTAATTCCAAATGTGGCTTGGTTTGGTACCTTTTTGATGTGCGAAATGTTTCTGGTTTTGCTTTGTTTTTGGTTGTGCAAAAGCAGAGTGTGATACTTGGGCAGTCTAATCAGCAAACGTGCTCGTGCATTGCTTCATTAACGGGATAAAACACGGAGCTAGCATCAGGACGTTATGGCACCAGCTCATAGTCCCGACTGGGACCGCGATGAAATTGTTTCTTGAATCACCTAGACACCCCGAACCCCAAAACATGGAGCCCTTAAATTTAAAACAGTTCAAACATGAACCCCAGTATTTCGTCGCTCAAGATACTGTGATGATTTCAGGTTGCCGTTGCAGGCCATATGATCTAGGGGCACTTTTGAGGGACTGGTACACTTTGCACCGGCTGCAGCTTTCTCACAGCGGTTCTGAACGTCCTCAAGGCTTTGCCAGCGCCGTTTCGCCATGGGGTCTGCAGCATCAGCGCAGCTGAATGAAAAGCTCAGTGGGGCATCAGCGTCGACAGCTAAGTTTGAAAGCGCAGAGAGGGGTATACCGTCTCTTCACATCGTTACAATGTTTGCAAAGGGATCTTGGAACTACAGGCATTTTTCCTGGTAGCATACTTGCTTGGAAAAACGTCCACGGCAAGAGACGAGGGTGGAAGCCAAAGTTTGGGACGCAAAATAACTCCCGGAGCAGTGAGGTCCCCAACAGAACGCCTTCCGCCACATACGCCCTCAGCAGTTTTGCAGGGCATAAATGCCTACGAAAGCACTGAGGCAGCAAGTGTCCGACCTGATGTCAGATCTGAATGCGGAGGAGCAATGCAGAACTGACAAGGGGACCACATCTGCCATGCTTCTAATCTTTAAATCTTTGCTTTATACAGAAAGTGTGAGGAAGTAGAACGGTGATCCTTCATGTTGCCACAATCACTATACCCTATCATTGCTCAACAGTTGCTTGTACCTAGCTTCACTCTTCATGTTTTGTGGCATGCCCTATCTGCATTTCACATCTTCATCTTTTCATCTGGAGGAGAAGCGCAAAATCCAAGCTGCGCTGGACAGCATGAAAGCCGAGGCCGCCAACCCTGGTTGCACCTGAAGAAGAAGTCTTCTAATGATAACGATTAATAATAATAGTAATAATAATAGTAATAATAGCAATAAGAATAGTAGTGATAATAGCAATAATAATAGGAATAATAATAATAATAGTAATATAGGTTCCCCCAGGTGTCCTTGAAATGTGGTCAGGCCATGCTTCCTTGCATGGCCCCTGCACCTTATGAAGCCACAAATTGCAGCTCTGTGGTGCACAAGAATGGAGAATGGGTTATATACGTCGGGTACAGAAAGGTTTGGCAGCTTCTTCCGTGGAACCTGCTTAGGCTTCCACTGTAGACTATGTAGACTAACTGAGATCCAGAACGAGGGCATGACTTCGGAGAGTGTCGAAGGAGTGGGGAGGGCTGGATAAATGCTGGTCCCTTTGCAATCATTGTAGGGATTGTGCCATGACGGTGGTATCTGCTGGGGCCCTCATTTTCAGAGAAGCATGAAGAAACACATTCTCGAGAAATGACGGTAGCTGTATGCAAGACCTGTGGGTACCTCTTAGCGTCGAGTGGATGCCTGAAGAAGCAATAGATGGTAGTTTCCCTAAATAGGAGGACCCCAATATAGACCCCTGAAATACAATAATCCTTATTATGGGGTCCCTCGAAAATTTTGTTAGACCCCAAATCCTGAGCCCTACATATCCCCATAATATCCTTACAAAGCCGCTTTATCCCCTTTAAAGGTCCACCCAGCCCCTCCCATTTTTTTTTGGAAACTCCCAGGTCCTCTAACCCCAGGGCTGACTGAACAGCAACGCCTCAAAAAAGGTCCCGGCTGCGTCTGTCAAAGAGCCTTTGGATGAGGAATTGGCTGGGAGCTCGGATGGGTATATAATCCTTCTCCAATCCTGAGATATAAGCTTGACATACCATCATAACCCCTCTATACCCCCTATATGAGCTAGAGTCTAAACTAATCCTTCTCTAATCCTGAGATGTAACCTTGACATACCATCATAACCCCTCTACACCCCCTATATGAGCTAGAGTCTAAACTCTTCAAAACGGGCTGTATAGGGGATAGTATTGGGAGTATTGGGTGGGGTACCCAAGGGGATATTAAGGGGGATACTAGGAGTTTAGATTATGGCTCATATGAATTTACCCTTGTAAATCTCCCCACCCCGCCGCGTTACCCCCAGGAGTGACAAGCCCTGGACTGGATGTCTCTAGCTCCTCGAAGTTTAAGGGCCACTAAACCCTAAACCATGCGGGTCCAAAGGGGCCCTTAAAAGAATAGCCCTAAACCCTAAACCCCAAGGAATCCTACAAGGGTGTTACCGGGGATTTGTCTAGGGTGTATGTCATGGAGCTTAACAGGCTCAGGTGAGATAGACTCTAGCTCATGTGGGGGGGGGGGCATACGGGGGTATGTAGGTATGTCGGGGTTATATCTCAGGACTATAAAAGGATTATAAATGAATGAATAAATAAATAAATATATAT